TCAAGGTCATATTCTATGTTTGACCCTCCTCCTTCCTTCCTACCTGATTACCGTGGTTACCTTTACTGTTGTTGTTCCACCCTGATGTGGACGTACACACAAAGGTGTTCGGTCAGATTTGTTCCTTTCGCTGCTATGTCCATTTTTCATATGTCTTTGGGCCTCCCCTTCTATCTGTGCCATTCCATTCTTTCTTCTGGCTTCTAACGACTGCTTCTCCTTATCTCCTGGGTCCCACTTTGCCTTCTGTGTTGTGTGTGTGTGTGTGTGTTGGTGTGTGTGTGTGGTGTGTGTGTATGTGGTACTCACCTATTTGTACTCCACCTATTTGTGGTTGCCAGGGTCGAGTACCTAGCTCTGGCCCCGCCTCAACACACCGGTTGCTACTTAGGCCCTCTCTCTCCTCCCGCTCCTAGGAGCTTTATTCATACCTCGTCTTAAAACTGTGTATGGTACCTTGCCCCAACTACGGTCATTTTCAAGGCTATTTCACTGCTTACAACTCTATGACTGAAGAAATATCACATCCTCACTATCTCTCGAACTCATTTGTGTCTTCAACTTCCCCAATTGTGGCCATCTTGTTTCTGTGTCCCCTTCCGGAACAGCCTGTCTTTGTCCACCTTGTCTATTCCACGCAGTCTATTTAGATGTCGTTTATCACAGGTCGCCCCTGACCCGCCTTCCTCCCAGTGTGGGTCAGGTTGCCGATTTCCTTAATCTTTCGGGGGGGGGGGGGGGTGGGGGGGGGGGGGGGGGGGGGGGCGTTCATAGCAACATTCCCCCTTAGCCTGGACACTATCCTTGTCGCAAACGCTTTGTACTTACTCTAGTTTCCTTGACGTGCTTTATTCAAGCGGTTCCAAACAGGGTGCTGCATTACTCCAGTATGGGCCTGACATAATCACGGTGTACAGTGTCTGAATGATTCCTTACTAAGAGATCGAAATGCTGTACACAGGTTTGCCACAGGCGCCCATATATGGCTGCAGCAAGTTATCTGATATGAGGTGTGCATCCGGAGAACAGCTCCGGTGTTATACTCACCCCAAGAATCTTTCTTTCTCCGTGAGTGAGTTGCAGATGCTGGCACACCGAGCCTATTACTCGTCTGTGGTCTTCTGTGCCCTTTCCCCTATCCGTCATGAACTTTTGCATTTGGCAGGATTAAATCGAAAGCCATTTTTGCTGGACCAGGTGTCCAGTCGTTGTCCAGGTCACTGACAGACAGTCTCTTGTGTTTGGTGGTTGGTGTGTGGTGTGTGTGGTGAGTGTGTGACACAATGCGTGTGAGTACTCACCATCATTGTGATTGCGGGGTCCGTGTGTGCGGTGTGTATGTTGGTGTGTACTCACCAGTTGAGGTTGCGGGGGCGAGTCCGAGCATCCTGGCCCGCCTCTACACTGATAGCTACTAGGACACACTCTCCCTAGCGTGAGCTTTATCACATACCCCTCTCTTAAAGCTATGTATGGATCCTGACCAACTCCACTACATCGCTTCTCGTCAAAACTATTTCGCACTTACGACTATCCCTATGGCTGAAGCAAATACTTCTTAACATCCCTGTGATTCTTCTGTGTCTCTCTTTCAGCTTACCATCCTGTGTCCCCATGTTACTGTGTCCAATCTCGGAACATCCTCGTCCCTTTGTCCACCTTGTCGAATTCCTCTCATATTTTGTATGTCGTTATACAAGGTCCCCTCTTCCCCCTATCTCTAAAACTCTCCTGTCCCCATGTGTCTTACAGTTGATTTCCCTTACAACCTCTCCACACACACACATAACACTCTTAGGCCTGTGAGACCTAGTCTTGTTGCAAAACCCTTGCCGCTTTGCTCAGTTTACTTCTCTACCGTGCTTGGCTAGGTGTGGGATCCAAAAACTGGTGCCAAGCATACTCCCCCCCAAAATAATGGGCCTAACGTAAACAAACGGTGTAAAGGGTCTGAATGATTTCCTTATTAAGAAAGAGTCGAATGCTGTTCGAGGTTTGAACTGGCGACCCATATGCTGCCAGCAGTTAGTTTGGTTTGATTGCCATCAGAGATGTGCCTGGTGATATACTCACGAACCACAAGAACTTTTCCTTGCAGTGAGGTATGTAGTCCTCTGCCCCCTAGACTGTACTCCGTCGGCGTCTTCTTTGGAGCCCTTCCCCAATGGGGGGGCTTCATGACTTTGCACTTGGTGGATGTACTACCAGGAGCCAATCTGCGGAACCAGGACAGCAGCCCTTCCATACCCTTTGTAGTTCTGCCCTGTCTTCGATCGAAGTGAATTCTTCTCATCAACTCACATCATCTGTCAAACAGGACACCTCGAGTCCTATTCCTTACCGTCATGTCGTTCACAAATACCAGAAACAGCACAGGTCCTAGACTGACCCATGTGGGACCAAACCGCTGGTCACAGGTGCCCACTCTGACACCTCGCCAATACCAAGACTCGCTGCTGTCTTTTCCCGACAAGTATTCCCTGGATACCATTGGTAGTGCCTTCCCTGTTATCCCTGCTTGGAACCTCCCAGTTTTTTTAGCACCAAATCTCTTGTGTGGAACTTGTCAAACGCCTTCTTGCAGTCCAAGAAAATGCCATCCACCCACCAACCTCTCTCTTCTTGTCTTACTGCTGTCACCATGTCATTAGACACTTCCATAGGTTAGTGGACACAGATCGCATATTCCCGTCCTTGAAAACCATATTAGGCTGGCTGTTGATGAGATCGTTCCTTTGTCTAGGTGTTCCCACCTCACGCTTTTCATATCACTAATCTTCTCCATGTTTATGCATACTATACATGTCAGTGACACTGGGCTGTAGTTTAATGCTTCATGTCGGTCTCCTTTTTTAAAGATTGGGACTACATTGCTGTTCTTCCACAATGCCTCAGCAATCTCTCCTGGTTCGATAAGATGAATTGAATATTGTTGTTAGAGGGTACACATAGCCCACCTGCTTCCCTCTCTCACTACCCATGGGGAAAGATGTTATCTGCCCCATTGCCTACTGGAGGTATCTAGCTCACAACTCAAAGCCTCTTCACTTCTCCTCAAATTTGTGTACACTGTGTGCAGCACATGGTGGTGTGCCCCCACCTTCTCCGTCTTTCTGGAGCCAACCTTCTGTCTCCTCGGTGAACACTTCTTTGAACTCTGTTGAGTTGTTAGTCCCTCACAACTTCAGGGGACCGGTCATTTCTTGTTGTCTCTCCTCCTCCTTCCTAACCTGATTACCTGTCCTTGACTGTTTTTTCCTCCTGATGTGGCTGTACAACAAACCAACAGTTTTCGGGTCAGATTTGGCTTTTGCTGCTATTCTTTTCATATTAGTCTTAGGGGCCTCCCTTCTTAACATGTGCATATTCGTTTTCTCTGGCTCACTACGACGGCTCTCCTTATTCTCCTGGGTTCTTTGGCCTCTATTACACTTTCTTCCATTCCCAGCACACTTGGTTTTTGCTTCCCTGCCCTTGGGTAACACACACACACACACATTCACATCCTGGCTTATTTATCATATCCTGTTACCCCTTGGGGTACAAACCTCTCCTCAGCTCCTTGCAATTTTGTTCACACTACATTCTTTCCACTCCATCTCCATAAACTGGCTTCCCAGCCAGTATCAGTCTGGCCCACGAACCCTGCCCGTCAGGAAGTTCCTCCTCATTCCTGTGTAGTCCCCCCTTTCTTGTAGTATTTGGCTGTCACATTCGTCCTGGCCTTCCGCTGCCTTCTCCTCCACTTGTGCTCTCTTTAGTGTATTCGAAAGCTATAAAAAACCACATGGTCATCTGGCCCCAACGGGGTCTTCAATGATGATGTACCTCGGTATCTGCACTACTCAAGGGAATACTAAGTCCAGCCTTGCTGTTTCATCCACTCCTCTCTACTCTTGTAAGTTGTCCCTTACGTGAGTTGGCACATGAAGTTTTCCATTACCACCTCCATCATCTTAGAGCCTCCCTGTATGCTTGGCCCCCATGTGGGTCCAAGTGTGTGTGTGGGTGTGTGTGTGTGTTCTGTTGTGCACACTCACCTAATTGGGGTGCAGGGTCGGTGTGTGTGTGTGTGTGTGTGTCTGTGTGGTGTATGGTGTGGGTGTGGTGTGTGTCTGTGTGGGTGTGTTGTGTTGTATGTGTCGTGTTGTTGTGTGTTTGTGTGTGTGTGTGTGTTTGTGTGTTGTGTGTGTATGTGTAGTGTTGGTATGTGTGTGGGTGTGTGGGTGTATGTTGATGTTGTGTGTACGTGTGTGTGGTGTGGTGTGTGTGTTGTGTATGTGTGTGTGTAAGTGTGTGTGGTGTGTCTATGTGTGTGTGTGTGTGTGTGTGTGTGTTTGTGTGTGTGTGCGGTGTGTGTGGTGTGTGTGTGTCTGTCGTGTAGTGTGGAAAATAATGTTATGAGAGCAAGTTGGGCAATTGCGCCTAAACGATCTGTAACTACCTTGTTAAGAAGACGTTAGTCACTACACTGAAAACCAAGATTGATTCCTCGAGCTTTATGAATCGGGCGATGCCTTCGAGGAAAGGATTTCAATTGGCAGAGAGATTTCCTTGATGTCTAAACAGGAAAAATAATTATTGTGAATTGTCATGAGCAGCCGAGGCTGGTGGAATGGAGGTGGTATGGGGGTTTTTTGCGGGAGCACCGAGGCTGTGCATGGAGGTGGGTAGTGGGAGCAGGGCCGAGGCTGGATGATGGAGTGGGTAGACGGTGAGCAGCCGAGGCTGTGATGGAGGTTCGGGAATGGTGAGCACCGAGCTAGTGATAGTAGGGTGGGGTGTTTGTGGAGGAGGGGTGAGTGGAGCAGCCGAGGAGCGTGATTGGAGGTGGGTAAGTGGAGTGAGTCAGCCGGAGTGCTGTGTGGAGGAGGTATGGAGAGCAGCCGAGCTGGTGATGAGGTGGGAGTGGGGTGACAGCCCGAGGCTGGTGATGGAGAGGGTACGTGGGTCCAGCTGCCGAGGCGCTGGTGATGAGGTGGGTAGTGGTAACAGCCGAGGCTGGTGATGGAGGTGGTAGTGGTGAGTCAGCCGAAGGCTGGTGATAGAGGAGGCTAGTGTTGCGCACCGATGCTGGTGATGGCGTGGTGTGGTCCAGCCGAGGCTGTGATTGGACGGTGGTAGATGCGTGAGCAGAACCGAGGCTGGTGAAGGAGGAAGGCTAGGTTGAAGCAGCCGAGGATGAAAGGTGGAGGAGGAAGTGGTGAGCAGCCGAGGCTAGGTGATGGAGGAGGCTATGTTGAGTCAGCCGAGGCTGTTGATGGAGTGGGTAGTGTCAGGCACAGGCCGAGGCTGGGATGAGAGGGTCGTGTCAGCAGCGAGGCAGTGATGGAGGGGGTACGTTGGTGAGACAGTCGAGGCTGGTGCGGATCGGCGGATGGGTAGTGGTGAGCCGAGCCGAGGCTGGTTATGGAGGCGGCACGTGATATGCGCAGCCGCGGCATGTGAAGGCGGTGGGACAGAAGGACAGCAGCCGCAGCTGTGTGATGGGCGGTGGATAGTGTTCAGGCCGCCGCAGGCTGGTGATGCGGTGGGTCTGGACCAGCAGCCGAGGATGGTGATGGAGGTGGGTAGTGGTCAGCAGCCGAGGCTGGTGATGGAGGAGGGTAGTGGTGAGCAGCCGAGGCTGGTGATGGAGGAGGCTAGTGTTGAGCAGCCGAGGATGGTGATGGAGGAGGGTAGTGGTGAGCAGCCGAGGCTGGTGATGGAGGAGGGTAGTGGTCAGCAGTAGTACCCTCAACACTAAGGTAAGTTACTCTCATACTACTAAAAATTACCATAGTATGTAGACACTTCAGACCTGTGTATATATACACACACTGAGATGTGTGTTTCCCTGTATATATACACACTGAGATGTGTATTTGTGTTTCGGGGATTCAAGTATTCTTGTTTGCTGGAGACTTGATATGGTGTAGTCCGTAGGCTTTAAACCCCCATTATCCAACCACTTGTAAATTATCAAGATTATGTTTTAATATGTTTAGTTGTTTACATCAAATGTTTTGTTTATACAAGATTTTGGTTACAAGAGTTTGTCTTCATTTTTAGCTTAGCCATAACATTATGTAATTTATCCATGTCAAAGAAATCTTTCATTGTGGACTTTTATTATACATGTAGGAAGACCAGCCGTTGATAGGTAAGACAAACTAGCCTAAGTTTAGCATTAAATTTTAAGCCTCACAATAGGCTTAAATGTAACTTTTGCGTATTTCACTTTATATTGGAAAATTTAAGCACAGAAATCCTAGTGCCTGGAATCTATAATTAACCAAAACAGAAAAGGTTATATTTGTCTTCTCTGACAGACTAAGTTACGGTAAGTTTAATTTAGGTTTTCTCCGTGCAAACGGAAGAGTATTTTTTCCCCGTGTAAAATCAAAATTAGGCTTCATTTTTGGTGTGAGGACATAACACTGACCTGTTGGTCAGTACAGTTGTGTAGTGACAAGCGACTATTATGGTGGTTATATTGTCTGGAAGTATTATTTAACACCAGTTTCTTGTACCTTGCTTCACATATACACAAATAACCCGCACATAACAAACCTTTTAATGACGATTTTGTTCGACTTGGACCATTTACAAGCGACTTGAGTTCATCTTCTATAAGACACATTATGATACAAATGATGCGCTTCTTAATTAATAATAGACATATCCTGTGTAGTTACAATGGTAGTTAATGTGGTACTTGTCTTGGCCCAGATACAATGGGTATAGTTCCTCACTTAAAGCAAGGTTAAGTACATTACACCATCGATATAGGCCTAGTTAACATTATTAACATACTTATAGAAAGCCCCTTATGCGCATCATTTCCGGCAATCTTAAATAACCACCCAGTAGTTAAAATTAAGTTTGTAAGGGAGGATTTTTCACCATAAGTGTCGACTCTTCTGGTCTAGCAACATCGCTCAGGAATTTTGCAAATTGTTGACCATTGATGTTTTAAGATGACAGTCTGTGACAATTCAGAACAGTCATTACTGAAAAAGGCATAAATGATTAAGGGAGGTCCAGCATGTTGTGATGCAGCGGTGGGGAGGTCCAGCATGTTGTGATGCAGCGGTGGGGGGTCCAGCATGTTTTGATGCAGCGGTGGGGGGGGTCCAGCATGTTGTGATTTCAGCGGTGGGGGGTTTCCCGCATGTTGTGATGCAGCGGTGGGGGGTCCAGCATGTTGTGATGCAGCGGTGGGGGGTTTCCAGCATGTTGTGATGCAGCGGTGGGGGGCCAGCATGTTGTGATGCAGCGGTGGGGGGTTCCAGCATGTGATGCAGCGGGTGGGGGGGGTCCAGCATGTTGTGATGCAGCGGTGGGGGGTCCAGCATGTTGTGATGCAGCGGTGGGGGGTCCAGCCATGTTGTGATGCAGCGGTGGGGGGGTCCAGCATGTTGTAAATGCAGCGGTGGGGGGTCCAGCATGTTGTGATGCAGCGGTGGGGGGTCCAGCATGTTGTGATGCAGCGGTGGGGGGTCCAGCATGTTGTGATCCCAGCGGTGGGGGGGTCCAGAAATGTTGTGATGCAGCGGTGGGGGGGTCCAGAAATTTTGTGATGCAGCGGTGGGGGGGTCCAGCATGTGATGCAGCGGTGGGGGGGTCCAGCAGTTGTGATGCAGCGGGGGGGGGGTCCAGCATTTGTGATGCAGCGGTGGGGGGGTCCAGCATGTTGGATGCAGGGTGGGGGGGTCCAGCATTTTGTGATCAGGGTGGGGGGTCCGCATGTTGTGTGCAGCGGGGGGGGGGTCCAGCATGTTGTGATGCAGCGGTGGGGGGCCCCGCATGTTGTGATGCAGCGGTGGGGGGTCCACCCATGTTGTTGATGCAGCGGTGGGGGGGTCCAGCATTTTGTGATGAAAGCGGTGGGGGGTCCAGCATGTTGTGATGCAGCGGGGGGGGGGTCCAGCACGTTGTGATGCAGTGGTGGGGGGTCCAGCACGTTTGGATGCAGTGGTGGGGGGTCCAGCACGTTGTGATGCAGTGGTGGGGGGTCCAGCACGTTTTATGCAGTGGTGGGGGGTCCAGCACGTTGTGATGCAGCGGTGGGGGGTCCAGCACGTTGTGATGCAGCGGTGGGGGTCCAGCACGTTGTGATGCAGTGGTGGAGGGTCCAGCACGTTGTGATGCAGTGGTGGGGGGTCCAGCACGTTGTGATGCAGTGGGGGGGGTCCAGCCGTTGTGATGCAGGGGTTTGGGGGGTCCAGCAGTTTGTGAGGGCAGTGGTGGGGGGTCCACGTTGGGGTGCAGCGGTGGGGGTCCAGCACGTTGTGATGCAGCGGTGGGGGTCCAGCACGTTGTAAATGCAGCGGGGGGGGGTCCAGCACGTTGTGATGCAGCGGTGGGGGTCCAGCACGTGTGATGCACGTGGGGGGTCCAGACGTTGTGACCCAGCGGTGGAGGGTCCAGCCTGTTGTGGGGAGGTACAGCCTGTTGTGATGCAGGGTGGGATGCCAGGCCTGTTGTGGGGGGGGGGGCAGGCCTGTTTTCCTCTTTATTCTCTCCCGGCTTAGTGCTTCCATGTGACTAATAATTATCCAAAAAAAAAATCCTGCAAAAAGATAACGGTACGTTATAACCAGTTTCTTACACTTGGGGGCCCCATGAACCAAATGATGTGTTGATTCAGCTTAACCCTTAAATGGTCCAAACGTATATATACGTTTTTTTTCAACATCTGTTTAAAGCTTTTGTCTTACACGTTAGTATGCCTTCACTCATTTGGAAGACTTACAAACTTCCGTTGACATAGGTAAAAAGCGATCATGAACTTCTTTTGCCAGCCTCTAAGGTGACAACACTTGTAGAAACCTATCCCCTCGTTGGATCGAACCCGATTACTTCACATTTTCCCAAGGGCAGGATGTGGGTGTTAGGTCTTCCACAGGAATCGTCACAATGAAAAGACTGACTTTTGGGACATAACCTGTTCGCAATTGCTTCTGTCCCTCCGTGTTAGCCTGTAAAGTTCCTTCGTGGTGGTTTTCTTGTTACCGAGATGCCTGTAGGGACCTCGGGAGAAATTTTAGGAATCTTGTGAAAGGTTAAAATTAACTGATGTTGGTTTTTTCAGTTTATGATTTCATTTGTTGTTTGATCATTTGTTTTGTTACATTTATGGTTATAAGATCGTTTTATAGCCCTTTTGGGTTAGCGCTTCTTTTTGATTATAAAATAATATGGTTTATAAAGCTGAGTGACCTATCCCCTCAAATTGCTGTGTATCGCTACCAGTGTACTACGCCTAAGTGTTTAGCGCTCCCTCCTTCCCCTTCCATGAATATTTGCCTACACACTTGGTTTATCAATCCTTTTCGAATTTGTGGACTGACTGTGATGCACACAGGGTGAGTTAGGTGGCAAACTTCCAATTTAAGGAGTCGCTGCTGCTCAGGTTAGTTTTATGGATGCTCAGAGAATACTTCCTTTACGTTCGTAATGCAGACTCGCACGGCACTTCAGATGTCTACCCAGATTGTGCAGCCTCGTAGCTCGCAGACTATCACCTCCACGAATACCAGATCGAAAACTCGAGGAAATTTTTTCGGGCAATTGCGCAGTTATTGAAGTCTTGCGAGTGCCTGGGTCACTTAGCAACACTCGAGAAGATGGTGGTTCCCTTTATACTGGTAAAATGTTTATCTGGATGGAGATAAATGGTAAAAAAAATAAGACACGAAGGAAAAAAATACCTAATGCAGTATGTGTCCTTTGTTGACAAAGGATTGCATTGTTCTATTTTTGTCTATTTTTCCGAAGTGTTTACAGAATTAGAACTTTATTAAAATGTCAACGCTCAAACACTACATGTTGGAGATTTACCCTTAATATGTTTTTGGGAAAAAAAACAGATTCACTGAGGTACACTAAAGCCACTATCGTAGAATTAATGTGTGGAAAATTGCAATTATCTGAATGTAACTAATTATGTACATAACAGTAAATGATAGATTATTATTTATCAATGTTACATAGACAAGTAGGAATTTGTGATATCTAGGCCCCAAAAA